CCACGTTTACGTAGCTGGCGTCGCTCCGTCCTATGGTGCTAACAGCTGCCAAATAAGACGGCATTATCGCAACGTAACACTATCGAATCGGTAAACACATTACAAGTTTGTATACAATAATTCGAATTTTGTACGGCTCTACATTATAGGTTAGCTTTAAAAGCTTTCACTACGTACGACGACGTCAGAACTCGTGTTTCCCTTCCTTTGAATTTGTCCTACCTCAATTCTTCAACTATTTTTTTGCCTTCCTTTCTCAGCATACTTAAGTTGTACAACCTTCATTGTGTCCGCTTGAGCCTGCATGAATGTATCATACACTTACATACGTGTATGCTTCGAAAAGACTGTTTTCTGCTTACTCAGAGAAACTATGCGTCTCCAACGCGGCCTGTTTAAAGGCAGGATCAGTCGTAAATCAGAAGTGGCAAAGAACATCTTTTATGTGATCACCCAGGCCATAACTGCAAGTGCGATTCCCTAGGCAACTCCAAAACATTTTAAATTACACCAGTTGGTTTATATGTAAAGTTGTGACGCTATCCTGGGCTAGTTAATGATAGTATTATAAAATATCGAGCGCCGCACTGTATTTATATGCGAAATCACACTGCTATTCGAATTTTCACTTCAGACAAGGAATACAAAATAGGAGATCTTATCTCGCGCTATGGTTCGATTATTAGCAGCGTCAGCTTATAATCACGACGACGATACGGTGGCGCGGCCCGGTGCGGAACGGGCGGTAAAGACAGGACCATAGCAGCAGCATCAACTGCTATATGCCGTAAGCGGCCACCAAAAACTACTATAGTATCTCTCAGAAGGCCAAGATGGAAAATGCGGGCACAAAGACAGAAATGAAGACGAAGTGGGAGGGATACAAGGCGCTCGATTTGTAGCTCGTAGCGCTTATTGTTATTGTGCTATTGTTACTGTCGTTGCTTGTGTTGTTGTTGTGCCATCTCCAACGCTTTCTAATCTTCTTCTGGCGTTCGTGCGTGGGAACCAGGTTCGGCGCCTGGCCGCCCCGAACGTAGTTGTGGTCATTCTGTCACGTTGCTGTCCTCCGCGCTATCCTTTGGCTCGATAGTTTGTCGGCAGTGGTATCGCGTCAGTTCGCTACGCAGGATGATGTAACTAGCTTAGCGGGTGGCGATGGCGGTAGCTGCCATAGCAGTCGTAGCAGAGTTCTCACTCACTGGACCGCGCACAACAGACAATCTCAGTCGCATCGAGGTCTTAGGGCAATGGGGCTGAACCAATAGGCCAAGACGCCATTCAGGCTCTCACCTCGCTAAGAGCCGAGGGGTAGCCGAGCGATGTTAGGCTTGTACGGACGTACAACCTAGTTTCGTAAGCAGCAGTAGTAGCAGCTGGAGGAGGAGTTGACAAGGTCTCACCGTCAGCTAGCTGCTGCGTCGGCTTGGCCTGTTCGTCGACGAGCAATACATTATTGTGCCGCCGTTGTTTCTGGTGCTATCATTACGCTTGTAAAGAGAATGTGCGACGTTATTGCCCAAGTACTGTTGCCGTTGCTGCTTGACGAAGAGGAAGCCCCCGCCATTAATTGGGCGGTCGAATGGCCGGCCCCACGAATAGCAGAGAGCAGATTAAAACTGGGGTCGTTCATCTGGTGGGCCGGTACGAAATGCGACGGTCTCGAGGAACAGTACGTACACTCTTATACTGTGCCGTTTTGTTGCGTTTAAATAAATAGCAGTATACGACGGCATAGGTGTTGACTGTAGTGCCGGCTATCATTAGAAGGACTGGAATACTAGTAGTAATAAATAAAGTAAAAAATACAGGTTGGTCGTTTGTTACTGAACTATTCTATCCGGTGCCCCCGAATAAAGGCGCACGAAAACGTTACTGTCCGATAAACCGAAAAATACAAGTGTTTAAGTTTTGCTATAAAGTGTCATTGCGTAAAGTTTGCAAAGTGCAAACAAAGTTCGTGTAGAGTACTCCCTCCGTTCTTATATGAGCCATTCAAAATACGTGCCGTTCGCACATAGCTACGTCTATACTTACTTATGCACTAGTCAATCTAGACGGATCAAACAAAGACAAAGCCGAAAAAACAACGATAATAAATTAAAGAAAAATCAACCTATAAAACTACGATTTTTCGGATGTATCTAGTTCTATTTCAGCGTAAAACTTGTTTTCGGTAATGGCTTGATGGTGATAGGACGAAGTTCACTTGAGCGATCATTGTGTGATCTCATCCGGTCAAGGCTAGTTTATTTGAGGGTGCTTCTCCCATAAATAAGTATAGATGGCCTATAATTTTCTTAGTAAATGTCGCAAAAAATGCTCGAGTTATGGCAGGCTCAGCGATGAGCATGGCTCTTCCTGCTGAAACAATTTGCATACGCCTACCAAAGGGTCGGCATTTGTTGGGTCAATGGCCAGTCCATAGACTCTCTAATTTGTTATAATGACACGTTCTCTAGTAATGCAGTCATTGCTGTCACATATACCGTCACCAAAGCCTTAGCCTTAACTAATTAATAAAAAGCTGCAGGTATTAGCTTCGTAGCGAATTTATCAGACAACGTACTTCTAAATACTGTTTAATATCCAAGACTACTTAATCAATATAGACAAAAAACAAAACCCTAACACAAGCGTCTCCATATAAAGGTTGTGTGTGTGGGGGGG